CAGCCTCACCAGTGAGGGCATCAGTTCAATCCCATTACCCTCTTACATGGCATCACACCTCTAAAACATCTTTCTTACCTCACTTTGTGTTGTTYTGCATTGATTGTTGTGTATTCAGGCCCTGCTTTCCAGCTGTGTGAAGCAAGGCTGTGTGCTCTGCTGCCCAGCTGATGGGTGAGTGGGCACTGACTGCTGGGGTGAGCACCTCAGGGGTGACTCAAAGGCTCAGGCGTTCCTGCACACAGATGCTCTTCACAGGGAAATGCTTTCCTTACCAGCTCAGAAGCTTCTCATGTAACAGAAAGTTGCTCCAAAGTCAGCTTTTYGTAGCTTCTTACAGAATTTTCCATCAGCTTTACTGATACTACCATGAGATTAGTATTGTATCTTAAGTATTGGTATTTTGAGCAGTTATTGAAGAATTAAATGCTTGTGGAACAATAGTGAGTTTGGAGGCTGGGATGTGTTAGCATTGGGAGTGAGCTATAGTATTAACAGAGCCATTCTAAATATACTGCAGCATTGCAATCCTGACTGYGATTGTGATGCCAGGCCTGGACTATGGGTACATCTTCCATGTGCACTCTCACGTGAGAATGACAGGGCAGCACGTGCTAGGCTTGAAGATAGTGTTTCTCTCAGTTTGATAAGGAGTGTGACATGATTGTCCTTTGCTTCTGGTGTGTTACACAGACTCAGTGCTGGGCTGTTCAGGAGTGAGTGCAAGCAGCAGGGCATGTGGAAATATTCCCTTGAATGAGAATTTCTGCAGTTCATGAAGAGAAATCTGCTTGTGTTTGGCCCTTTATTGGCAAGGACATGTCAGGGAGATAGTTCTGATTTTCCATCTGCATGAAAAGTCCATCTTTGGTCTCCCAGATTTTCTGGTTTTTCCTCTTGCTTTGGTTTTTAGCTTGCTTGTGTAGTAGTTTATTCCTCATTGGGCAGGTTGTTAGAGGGGAACACCTGGTAAACAACACCTGCAGGCTCTGTCATGGACTGGTGTGGGCWGTTCAGGTGGCTACTGCTTTCTTGCTCTTGACTGCACAATGTGAAGGAAGTATGGGGGTGTTCTGGGCAGGAAGGAACGCATGTCCTAAAAGCCAAACTATCTGAAGGGCACTGCCAGGCATAGCTGTCCTGATAGCAGTGAGGATGGTCTTCATGGTGAGGGAATCAGTAAAATGCTTTTTCTAAACACCTTCTAAAGCTGACTGGTCTTTTAAACATACCAGCTCTTTAGGCAATCTAGAGCTGGTTTGTTATTGCAGGCAAATCATGACCTGAAGGAGACTTTGCCTTTCTTAGAGTTGTCCTCCTCATTACATGTACTAGCAGGAGATGTGTGTTTGTYACAGAGGAGTGAACATTTACTTGTAACCATAATACCTCAAGTTCTATAGTGAGAAGTGTTAGTTGAACTAGAAGTGGAAGTGAGGCAGCCTGGAATGCCAGAAGATGGGATTGCCAATGACTGATGAAGGATCTATACCTTGATTCAGACTTCTCTTTCAGTGAGTGTCCCCARGTTCTGATGGATTTTAACAGACAGGTTGATTTAGCAGCAGAGACAAATGGTGACTTGACATTGTAAAAGAGGAAGATGTRAAGAGCTGACAGGCTCTTACTGCCTCAGTTCCCATACCTGTGCAAGGCCTGTACATTAAATATGTACTCAAAAACTTCTCCCTTCTGTGGGAGCCGAATGACAGATTCCAGTTCTTCACTCCTGCTGCCTGAATTCCTGATTTCTCCTGGAGCAGCTTTGCTCCCGAGYGGTCAGAGCAGTCTGCAGCCTTTCTCTGGGAACACCACTGCTGTAGCAGTTGAGTGAGCAGTGGAAGCYTGAGTAAGTACCACTGGCTCTTTCTCAAGTCTGACATCATATCCAAGAATTAGATGGCTCTCTCGCTCACCATGGGGATAATGAAATGATTCCTACTGTGTTATTCATTAACTCACATTTCATTCAGTGGTTCCTGAGAGAATAACGAGTACGTTAGAGGTGAACTTGCATAAGACTTCTGACACATCTTTTTGGTAAGTTAAGTAAGAGTTAAAGCTGTGGCAGACAGAGCATGGGCAGTGGGGCCTCACTGAGGCAGGTGGCCCRGGCTGTGTTACACAAACTGACTTGTGAGCTAATTTAGTGGCTTTTTTTGTCAATGGTTTCAAGAAAATAGCCTGCTTCTAAAGTTGCTGGAGAAATAACTGGTGCCCAGAGCCAGATGAACTGGGCTTCCTGGTACAAATGGCTGTGGCTGTTGATGAAGCTCCCATGCTAACTGGGAGTGCTGGTCTGTTGTGAAGGCTTGCCAGGAGTTTGCCTTCCTCCCAAAGAGGTTTGTCTGTGCTGTGCAATTGAGCCAATAAACTAATATAAATAAAGATTAAGCTGTTTGTGGGAGGAAGGATGATTGGATATTCAGGTGTCTAACAATCTGTCTGATCTTTTGAGCATTGCTGTGAGTGTGCTGACATCAGTAGTTCATCCCCACAGGTAATAACTGAGGTAATTCTAARCAGAGGCTGCAGTAGGATGGGACACCTGAAGAAATCCAGAATKTCCAGGTGGCCCAATAAGATTTTAAATTACCTGGTATTTGTAGAAGCACTGGGTGAGGTGGCTTTATCTGGGAAGAAGTTGTAGGTGGTGGTCTGGTGAGTCAGGCCAGTGCCATCCTGGAGAGGCAGGTGTGTCCCTGCCTGGTTGGGGTTGTAGTCCTGGCTAGGAAGTTGCTGGGAACCTTTCCAGATGTGTRTAGAGAGTTATGKTTTGGGTGCTGAATACACRACTCCAGSCCTKAGTGCTTGACTGTGCTGCTCAGACYGCTGGTAGTGGAGTTGTATTTCCCAAACACGGAGCAGAAATGCTATAAAAATTGGGMGTATTCAAACAGCTAAACTCTGGACATCTGGGCACAGAAGATCCTTTTGATGGCTTGAACTCTTATTATCCTTAGTTTTCCAGCCTTTTAAAAGTCCACTACTGCCACTTAACATATGTGACAATGTGGGAGCTCTGGTGGGTTCTGTGGATCCTTAGCAGAAGAGGTGCCATAAAATGAGCAGTGCAAGAAAGACTCATGTGCTTCAGTACTCCACACTGACTGACTACAGGGTTTAAGGATCATGACTGTAGGAAAAGTTTTGGATTTAGGGAGTATTGTCCCACCAGCTCACTGGCTGAGGGTGGTGGTTGATGGGAAGGAAAGGATGGAGAAGGGAATTAAGCATCATACATATTCCAAAAGAAGCTGAGCTAAAGCTTCACAGGTGATCACAGTGCTTGCRTTTCCTAATGTGTAACCCTTCACTCCATGGTTTTTATGTAGGGCTGCTTTAGGCTGCAATTACAAGTTGATTTCCCTGGCGTGTATGAGCAGTGAAAATACCTGCTGGGTCATTAATGCAGGGCTTGGGCTGTCAGCTTTGCCTCCCTTGTTTACTCATTGTGCAACTCCATGTAACTGCTTAGTCCAAAAATCCAGCACCGAGCCTTGCCAGCCTGTCAAGGATCCCTTCCCTTACAGCAGCACTTACACACCAGTGCTCTGTCTGCCTAAAATACGTGAAATAGAAAAACACCAAAACAGGCCACTCTGTCCTGCCTGTTCTTGCAGGATCTGTTTCTCAGCACCCACCCTGGTGGCAACTGGAAAAGGGAATTCATTAGTTCAAGCTTTAAGTWATTCAGACTGAGTGTGGAAGTTTTGCTGTAAGTGCTGGTTCATGGTGGCATTTTTTATGTTGGAGGCCTCTACCATAAGGGAATTCTGAATTGTGGAACARTTCTGTCAGCTGGACCTGGAGCTGATGCAGAGATGTCACATCTCCAAGCTAATGACACAGAAGTGGTACTTCTAATAAACATGCATACCTTGGATCCTTGTCCTTCCTTGACAGACTTATCTGTGCTCCAGCTAAGCTTTCCTACATAAAGATGTAATCTCTCATCCAGGAGAGGAGTTGGTCTATTTTTTGGCGTTTGAATCTAAATGAGCAAAACTGTGCAGGCTCTGAAATACAAGACCTGAATGCTGAGGTTGTTCCTGCAGCGAGCTGTTATTTATCTAAATTACAGATGCTTTTTAATCCCAGCTCTGAGCGTTTGCTTCTAGATTTGTCTTCACATGTAGATTTGTGTTACACCAGCTGCATAACCTTCTGAAATAAAGGCTTGCAATAAAAGCAAGGCACACTTAAGTATTCTGAGCATTGTTCTTWCCCTTGTTGTTCTGTTTTTGCTCAGAGTGTGAAGGTTTCCTTTGCCTTCGAGTATTTTTCTGAAGTTGGTTTCAGATTCCAGCTTTAATATTGGAGCTGATTGTCTAGAAGGGCTTTGCCTGGTGGTCCTCAAACCTCAGCTGGATGAGTGTTTAAGCAGCTTGAGGTAATGAAACTGTACCAGTGGGGGCCAGGACTCCCTGGTGTGCTTGTCCCACTCATTCCTAATTTTCTGGGGTTTTTTTGCATATGTATTGATCTTGGTTCTTTGTACCTTCCCATTTGGACTTAAAGGAGCAGAAGTAATTTCTGTGTGTTTTGTAATTGGATATTAAATCTTACTTCTGTGACAGAAATCTAGTGTGGGATTTGAGTGTCTCTCAGAAGGAAAGCTTTCAGGGAAGTTCAGTCTACTGGATCTGATGGCAAGTGTTACTGAAGGAAAGCTTTCAGGGAAGTTCAGTCTCCTGGATCTGATGGCAAGTGTTACTGAAGGAAAGCTTTCAGGGAAGTTCAGTCTCCTGGATCTGATGGCAAGTGTTACTGAAGGAAAACTTTCAGGGAAGTTCAGTCTCCTGGATCTGATGGCAAGTGTTACTGCAGGCAGCCTGGAGAGTTACGGGAAGGGGAGAAATTCCTACCCTCTCTCGGTTTGGATTTTGACCAGAGGTGGCACCTCATAAGATGTTTAAGTAGATCCTTGAGTACCTGAGCAAATGGAGGCTCAGAATTGTGTTTGTACATTTTCAGCAGCGCCATCCTGTGTGTGCACCATGATCCAGGGTAGCAGCTTGAGGTCGGGGGGTTTTGCTGCTTAATTTCATCAAGAGCAAGGCAGTATACCAGGACCCAAACCCCAGAGTTTATTGCTCCTTATCTATGTTGTATTTATTTTTTTCTTTTCAAAATCTGGCAGATTTACTTTTTCACTCCAAGCAAAGGCACCTTGAATACTTAACGCTCATAGGTTTAGTGCAGACTTCTCAGAGTTCATGCTCAGTAAGCACAGGCTTGGTTTTGCTACTCAGGTGGTTACCAGAGGGTGCTTCAAATGGAATGATAAAGACCAAAAATAGATTGATTTAGTTGATCTTAATTTTTACTGTGAAGTGCTACTTCTGTGTATTTAATTGAAGCTTGAGATCTGCAAGTCACAGGTAAGAGCTGTAGTGTTACAAATGTGTCTTGTGCTATTTTCACATCTTTAAGCTATATGCTAATACTAATATGTATATACTAATATAATGTGTATATACTAATATACACATGCTGTTGTATGTCTTTATAAAGTGCAATTTAAAGGGGACATGGTGAATTTACTGGAGGGATGGTTATAAATCTTTATATTCTTTAAAGGAGGGCTAAGTCCTACTTGGCTGATAGTGATTTAARTGCACAAATTGAAGTGGATAACAGCAGTCTCCTCATATACATATTTTTAAAAATCTGGAATTAAATGAAAATTACCTTCCCTGATGTGTCAATAACAGAGTGAGCTGTGAACTGCACTGACTTCTGCAATGCCTGTGGGAGAGATGGGGATGTGTTGTGTTTGGGTAATGTGCTGAAGAGCCCAAACCTTTGTTTCTTTAAAATGATGATTTATCTTTTAATTGCAACCAAGTCGTTCTTAGTAAATTAGGTTTGTTTTGAGTCACCTAGGGAAGGAGTGAATGTTCTCTAAAGGATAAAACACTTAAATGACTACTTGGATTCTTTGTACTATTATTCTTCCTTCTCAGGGTTAGTTGTATCTACCAAAAGGAATTATTTCCTTTAGGGAAAATAAGTGAGAGAGGTTTTAAATAAGTGTCTGTAAATACTAATTTGTTATGCTTTTGAAAAGGTCATTTRGTATAAAATAGGATACTGGAGGAATATTTTTTCTAGGTAAAAACTGATCTGYTATAGAGAACTTGGTGCGGTCTGATTTTAGTGAGCAGGTAGGAAGGGAAATCTTCCTGTTCCCTAGAGAAACTCATTCCTGTTGGAGTCACTGTTTGGATGGCAAGATTGACCAAAGTAGATAACCTGTAGAATGAATTCCTTTTTTCCACATCAGCCAAGTGTCTGCYGGTATCCTTCTATGGAAGCTTGAACTTCAATGGATTTTACCTTTAAATAGAAGGGAGAAACTGTGGCTGTTAACTGGAGACCTGTCAAACCTTGTTTTGCTAGCAGAGCTGCCGTTTATTTCAGAACTCAATTTCAATTCTAGCTGCAACTCGGTGTTTTGRTACACATCCGTGCCTCAAGCAACCACAAACCCTTCTTTGGTGTCTCTGACATGCCTAAATATATATAACTTTGGCTTCGTGCTGTTTAGTTTTTTAGAATAAGCATATTCTGTTAATCCAAGTAAATTCCTTCTGGCACTGAAGGGCTGTGCAAYTTCAGTGTAAGGGAACAAGCCTGTRTACTTTCAATATTATGGAAGTTGTTATGGAGAAAATATTTTGGGGACTTGTCCTGACTGAACTCAGACTCCCTGGGCAGTCTGGATACAAGACTTYAGAAATTGTAGTTGTTCTTGCCTTTGACACATTCAAGAGTTGAACATTGCAGAGCATCTACCTTGATTAAGTTGATGGGGKACTATTGGGCTTAAAGATATATAAAATCATAAAAACATGCATTAGAATCAAGTGGTTCTGAAGCAGCAYGGTTGTGTCTCTAGAGAAATACATAGTGCAGTGTGACAAAATTAACTGCTCTATTAAAGACCTCTGTACTTCACACTAGATACTGCTAATGTGTGTAATTGATCTTCCAAACCAGCTACGGAAATTGAAGCCCATTAAAACATTTCTTGAGGCGATCAAGAGCTGAAAGACTCCTCCATGGGCCTCATGCCTCCCACATCAAAGGGCTCTGCTGCTTCAATCCCTGGTGGCTGCTCTGCTGCGCAGAGTTTCACTGCTCCTCACTAAAGCTGGATACACAGCTTTAGTGTATTTTCCCTGTGCCCTCATGGGCAGAAGCTTCTTTAAGATTCTTTTCCTTTGCCTGCTTTTTGTTTGAGTTGAAGTCCATCTCCAGTTCTTATTTAAGTGCAGCTCACAAATGGAAAGTGGTATTTTGCTGTTACATTTCCTGCTTCTGAAATTAACTATGACTTTCCACAAGTGGAAAAAGATAGGAATAAACAACTGTCTTAATACTTGGAAGATACTGAGGCAATTTAACTACGGGAGGGAAAGTATTTGCTTTTCCTGCTTTTTCTCTTTGCTTTAGTGAATTGAGAYGTTCCGAGGCCAGGCTGGAYGGGGCTTGAAGCAACCTGAGATAATGGAAGGTGTCCCTGCCCATGACAGGGGATGAAACTGGATGAGCTTTAAGGGCCCTTCCAGCCTAAACCATTCCATGGTTCTGTGAACCAGCTGACCAGGGGAAAGCCAGGAAGCAGCAGGTTTCCTGGAGGCAATGTGCTGGTAGATTATCCAAACCAGTTTGTCCCTTGATCTAAATGCAGGAATCCTCCTTAACTGGGGAAAGCTTCAGAGTCTTGTGTGTGTCTTAATTCCTGTAGGGAGCCAGAGCTCTTCTCTGCCATGCCTGGCTGAGGGCAATGCTAGGGGGAATCTTCTCCCTCTGTAGGTGRCTGGGAACTGCTCAAAGCTTGGAGAAGCTGAAACTGGAAGTGGGCTGATGGAAATGCCTGATTRTTCTCCCTGAAAGGAGTCACTGCTCAAGTACAGGGAGGGTGGGATCCTGTTCCCGTAAATGTTGTGTCTGCCTGGAACTCCCTGGCTGAACAGGACCCAGCAGAAAGCTCTGTGCAGTCCCTTGAGCTGCTGGGGTTTCCTTACCAAGTTCTTGCTCCTTATCATGGACAAGCACACTTGGCTTTATCTCCTCCAAATTTGACTTTTGCAGTATTTGTACACACGGAGCGTCTGGTGAACGGTGAGTGCTCTTGGTAGCTTGGCAGCCTCATGGGTGCCCAAACAAGTGTGTGGACTGCTCTCTAGAAAACAGCTTTTTGTCAGCCTAGAAGAGCTACTCTGATCCTTGATTAACTCCTGAAATGTGGGATTTAGGGTGTCACTTCGTCAMAAGGGGTCTCTTGTAGCTAAATAAAGCTGGCTCTCAACTTAGATCAGCTCTTTCGTTATGTTTTTTTGAGTCCGTTTTTATCAGGATTGTTTTGCATGGACTAATAAGGAAATACCTGAACTCAAGGCTCTTTTTGGATTGAATTAACCATCTTATACTGTAAATAACGCTGTGATCAAACATACTTGTCCTTTGCTATGGTAATTGAAGGGACTTTGAAGGGAAGGGCTCTTCATCCTCAGGTTCACAGATTCTGGCAGAAATATGGGAATTACTCCTAAAAGCCCCTTCAAATCCCTTCAGTACAGAATGCAGTCGTGTGCTTGACAGCTCTAAAGTGGATCAGGGCTTTGGGAGGGTACTTGGTGTCTGAACTGTAAACTCTGCCATTCAAACTGAAACTATTTGAATATTTCTCAAAGAATTGAGCAGGCTCAGAGATGAGYGAGCTAATTGATTAGTTCTGTAAAAAAATATTATTTCTGCAGGAGCTGAAGTGAATCTTAAGCTGCTTCAAATTCTATAAATCTGAAATGTCCCTTCAGTTTTTCAGGCTGTGCTGCTCTGGAAGGAACCAGCATCTACAGCACTACAGAGGGTGGTGCCATAATCTGCTCTCTGGATTAGTTTTATCTTGTATCAAGGAGTTGGAATATGCCATGATGGGTCTGAAATGCCCTAGCTGGTGTAAAATAAGAAAGGGGAGTGTTTTGTTTGGTAGTAATATGGGAGCAGTGCCCTTTCTGCTGGCTCACCATGCTTCAGGGAATAGCAGCATAGACTGTTTTAAAGCAAAACCACCTTAATACCACATCAAAAAAAGCGTTTTTGGAGTGTGCCACAATTTTACCGAKTGCTGGTGTTTGAAATACTAACTTTCCCAGTTGTTGTAAGGTGATCTGGTGTGAGTCCTGGAACATGGAGCTTCCCAATGGCTTCCGTTCCTTGATGCAGGTGCTGAGGGTGAATGTGTGGATCTTACATGGCCTCCTTGTCAGGACAGATCTTTTCAATGCCATTTAAGAATTAATGGATTAAAGCTTTACTGATAATTACATTGTGCAAGGTATGCAAGCACAAGAAAGATATTTACCGTTATAGGCCTTACAGCAAACAGACTTCAGTGTCCTGCCTGTTCCAGGCTGTGCAGCAGAGCTCTGCTGGAGAAGGGCTTTTTTCAGGAATATGGAGGGACAGGGCACTGGGAATGGTTTCCCACTGCTAGAGGGTGGGGTCAGATGGGTTACTGGGGAAGGGATCTATCCCTGTGAGGATGGAGAAGGTCTGGCACAGGGTGCCCAGAGAAGCTGTGGCTGCCCCTGGATCCCTGGCAGTGTGCAAGGCCAGGCTGGACATTGGGGATGGGAGCAGCCTGGGACAGTGGAAGGTGTCCCTGCCCATGGCAGGGGGTGAGATTGGATGGACTTTAAGCTCCCTTCYAACCCAAACCATTCCAGGATTCTATGATTGTCCCCATTAGGGACACCTTGTAACAACTTAGGCATTTATTTCTCAAAACATTAATAGATTATTTATAACAGGTATTTGCTATTTCAGGAAAGTTGTCTTAAGACAAAAGCATCTGGTGGTGTTTTGTTAAAGAGATTTTCAAAGTTTTATGCCAGAAGAAGGGTGGTGCAAATGAGGCTGGCTGAGGAGCTGAGAGCTGTGGCTGCCTGTGTTGTCCTGAGGAAGTTCAGTGGGGAAAAAAGTGTCATGGGAGTGTATGTTGAAACTCCA